ACCAAAGACACAAGGAAAGTATTAGCCCAAGAGACAGAAAGGGCCACATAAACCAGAGACTTCATCAGCCTGAGACCAGAAGAATTAGATGGTGCCTGGCTACCACCAATGACCGCCCTGACAGGGAACACAACAGGGAGTCCCTGATGGAGCAGGAGAAAGACGTGATGCAAAACTCAAATTCTAGTAAAACCAGACTTAATGTTCTGACTGAAACTGGAGGTACCCCGGAAAGCATGGCCCCTGGATTCTCTATCAGCCCAGAAATAAAACAATTCCCAAGACCAACTCTTCAGACAAGGGTTGGACCGGACTATGGGACATAAAGTGATACTCTTGAGGAGTGTGCCTCTTAGTTCAAGTAGATACAAGAGACTAAATGGGCAGCTTCTGTCCAGAGGTGAGATGGGAAGGCAGAGAGGGTTAGGAGCATGTTGAATGGACATAGGGAATCAGGGGTGGAAAGGAGGAGTGTGCTGTCGCGGTATAGGGAAAGCAATTAGAGTCACATAACAATGTATGTATAAATTTTTGTATGGGAGACTAACTTGAATTGTAAACTTCATCTAAACTACAACAATAAAAAAACTTAAAAAAAGAAAAAAGATTACACATATCAGTCCTGGAAGACTCAGACTCACCAAACCCTATGGGGCAGTTCTACTCTGTCACTTTGGGTCACTATGAGTTGGAATCTACTTGATGGCACCCAACAACAACTATGTGCTGGGAGTCCCTGGGTGGTGCAAACCGTTAATGCACTCGGCTGATAACTGACAGGCTGGAGGTTCAAGTCCACTCAGAGACACCTTGGAAGAAAGGCCTGGCCATCTACTTCCTAAAAATCAGCCCCTGGAAACCCAATGGAACACAATTCACAGTTCTGCTCTGACACACACGGGGTTACCATGAGTTGGAGTCAGCTTGACAGCAACTGGTTTTACCATGTGCCAGGCCTGTGCCAACCGCTTTACAGGCGTTGTCTTACCCCTCTGTGGGGTGGGTGCTCTGAGGATCCCATCTTACAGAGGAGGAAACTGAAACTTGCTCAACATCACATAGTGTTAAGAAAAAGAAAAAAATGTTAATGCCATAAGTGTAGTTGAGTTTTGATTAAACTCTAAAGATTGGGGGAAGGAAGCCTAGAAAAATGGAAACAGTTGATTTCATGGGGTGATAGGATTGCAGGGGATTTTTTCCCCCTTGGTAAACAATTTCTGTTGTTTTCATGCGGTGGTGGATGGACTCTACTATGAGGGGGAGAAGCTGATCTCCAACAGACCTTCCAGACAATGCCTTGTCCATTGCTCTTTTCTGACAGGCCCAGAGAGGTTGAGTGACTGACCCAAGATCACACAGCTACTTAGGACTAGAATTGCTAGGACTAGAACTCAGTCATTTTTCTTTTTTTTCAAATATCAGCTGTCATTTCTAGCTATGTGACTTTGGGTAAGTCACTTAAGCTCTCCGAGCCTCAGTTTCATTATCTGAAAATGTGGGTAATAATAGCACCTATGTGACAAAGCTGGGGGAGGAGAGGGTGGCCTGGTGATAAATGCCGCCTAAGAGGAAAAGCATCCTCCCCAACTGCCCCTTCCCCCCGACCTGCACCCTCCTTCTCCTGGGCGACCTCCCAGCACTTTCTCAGCATCTTTGTCAATCTCTGTGTGTGGAGGGAGAGTTTCGGGGAAACCCCTTCTCCAGTTCAGATTGGCTTTGGTTCCTGTTTAAGCTCACTGCAAATTCACTCCCTTGGAACCCAGATTTTTTTTTTTTTTCTTCCTTTTTATGAAGCAGCACAGAATTGGACTGTGTGGGCCCAGGAAGCCTCCAGAATGCAAACGTCACTGAGGTCCTAGTGCTCCTGGGCCTACAGATGCCTCCCTCCTCAGGGGGAGTCATGGCCCGTGGGCTGCGTGGCCCACCAACCCTCCCTGCCTCCAGGAGTCTGGGGCCCAGAGATGAGACTCCCAGTCCCCCGCCCCAAAGACCATCTCGAAGGTCCCCGTAATCTTTGTGCCATGGTGAAGGGAAAAGTCAGTGGGAAAACTGTAGTCCTCCACATCAGAAACCCTGCTTGCCTGGGGCATCATGGGACTGACCCTGGCCAGCTTTCCACAAGGAGCCCTGACCCTGCAGGTACCTTCCCCTTTCCCCAGCCTGTACCCCTATACACACCTGCAAGTAATGGGAGCTGTAGCCTGAGACACTTGCCCTTGTTAGGGTGCTCCTGACTTCTCATGTTGCCTTCTGAGGGCGTTCTGTGTCATCGGACTTTCATATGCACCCAAAGTGTCATCCATTTCACAGATGAGACAACGGAGGCTCAGAACCATTAAATGACTTGCCAAGGCCACGTGCCAGGAGAGGCCAGGCCGGGATTTCTCGCCCCGTCACTATGCTGGGCCAGTCTTGTTAAATTGAGTTTTTCATATAAGGACAGTTACAGCATCTTGGGACCGTCTTTTTGTTCATAGGTGCTTCTTAATCTTAATGTCAGGCAGAGGAAGGGGATTTGTAGCAAGGGAAGAGGCGCAGCTGGATAAACTTCGAGTGGCTGGGCCTGAAGAAGGGCTTGGAGCCTCAAAAGCTGGTCACAGTCCCCTCCCCAATCCTAAGCTCAGTTACAGGCCAAGACCCACTAATACCAGCCGCCCAGGGACAGTGACAGGGAAAAGGAGGACAAAAAGAGATCAATTTTAAAAACACTAACAATCGTCCCCAAATGTTTGTTTTCACTTGTAAGCAAAAAAACTTTGTTATACCAGGGGCTATAAGATTTTCAATAATCGAATATCACCTTGACCGGTTTTTGTCTTATTCATGTTTCTTCCTCTTATTGTATCCACTTTGTAAATTACTACAAAGTTTTTTGGGAAGTGGATAAGATAGAAATCATAAACAACTGTGATTTCGCCATTGATCGCTGTGGCGGTGGTTTGTTTCCTAAGCACAAAGCCGGGCCTGGATGGGTACATGTACCAGGACAGACTCAAGGGAGAAGATGTCTCTGCCGAGTCCTCTTCGGGGGCCAGGTGCGGAGCTGCAGACAACCTGTGACCACACGCGGTGTCTCAGTTCCACTCTTAAATAACGGAGGCCTCAACCTCAATCTCAGAGGGCTTTCCAGACCTGTTCCTGGACGAGCTGTCCCATGGTTCTGAAACTTATCGACAGTTGTGAGGGGGCACAGCATCCTGGGGGAGCCAAAGAGACCACTCTTGACCACTTCCTCTGACCCCCTCAGCCATTTGTCCCAGGCATATTCAGTTAACAATTACTGAGCACCTACTGTGAATAAGAAAGACCAAAGAACTGATGCCTTTGAATTATGGTGTTGGCAAAGAGTACTGAATATACCACGGACTGCAAGAAGAGCGAAAAAATCTGTCTTGGAAGAAGTACAGCCAGAATGCGCCTTAGAAACAAGGATAGTGAGACTTCGTCCCTCGTACTTTGGACAAGTTATCAGGAGGGACCAATCCCTGGAGAAGGACATCATGCTTGATAAAGTAGAGGGTCAGTGAAAGGGAGGAAGA